ATTGAAAAAAAAAAAAAAAAGACAAAAAACAGTAAAATTGATTAATTACATGATTGGTCACTAAACTTTGCGTAAGGTTTCTAGGGAATCACTGAATTTCAAAATTTTTCTCATTAGTTACTGAACTTTACAAATGTAATTATATCCATCACTAAGGATTTCAAAAGTTTCATTGTTAGTCACTGAATTTTATAAAATGTAATTTCATTCATCACTCAATGACTAATGGGGAACCATTTATAAAGTTCAATGACTAATGGAAAAGTTTTTAAAGTTTAGTGACCTCTTAAAAACCTTATACACGAAGTTCAGTGACCAACTATGTAATTAATCCGAGGTAGGGTGGGTGAGGTATAGTAGGTTGATATGGCATCACGGTGGAGAGATATTAGCCTTTAATTCGATTAATATGAGTGATTATATTTGTTGATTATGATTTTTACACCATATATTATAGTATATTGGATTTAAAAAAGTGGAAATTATACTAGAGCATATATTTAAAGATCACACTTCAAAAATAAGATATAAAGTATATTTAATTAAAAATTAGGTGACGATTTTAATATTTTAATACTAATAATTATATTATAAATTAATATATACAACCCCATCCCCTAACCCAATTAAGCTCTCAAACCTTGATTCATTTCTATACATACTCTTTCTATCACTCTCTCTACCCATTGGCCATGACAATCGCGAACCGCTGCCATCAGCTCCGACCAGTTTGTACGGTTTTACGAAGATGTGGTGCGATGTGCGTTGCACCAATTGATCATCAAAGGTGCAGTACAACTTCTCTGCACAATCACATGAACTTGGTGTTGTATGACATCTCTGCATCGCTGTCACCTCGCGCTCCTGTACCACATCTAAGATCTGAAGCTAGAATTGTGTCCATGATCTCATATCTAAACAATATTTCGTCCAAAGCCAAAGCTCAGATTTTTGTGTGGCGCTTAGTTCGAGCCCTTGCAGCCAGTTCACTGTCAGAAGTGAAATGGCCAAAAGTGAAATGGTTGTTGGTGGTGGTGGGTTGTTGAGGTTGTGTTTGTGTTGCTGTCGATAGGGCTGTGTTGGTGATGGTGGCGCTATTAGACTGTGCTGGTAATGGTGGCGGCAAGTGGCCGTGATGATGGTGGTATGTGACCTAACTATTTGGTGTATGCGACCAACTATTTGGTTAATCCATGATTAGTTATTTGGTTATTTGTGACCAACTATTCAATTGTGACCTAAAAATTCGATAATTTGTGACTGAGAATAATTTGTAACAAATTAATTTGAAAATATGTGACCGACAAATAAATTGTGATTCATAAATTTTTTGATATGTGACCTATCAAAATCTTTTATTATGACCATGGAATATTTTTTGACCAATTAATTTGATAATATGTAATCAATAAACAAGTTGTGAACTATAAGTATGAACATTTGACCATTAATTATATAATTGTAGTCTTAATATATTTAATTAATAAAATAATTTTAATTAATTAATTAATACCCGAGTTTTGAATTTTGAAACTTTAAATCTGAAAATTGAATTGCCGACTTATGAATTTTTCCCTTAAAAAAACTTGCAAAGTAAAAATTGAATATTTATCTAATTTAATGTATTGGGTGATATTTCCACAAGAAATGTAATGAGGTCCATCTTTTGTTGGATCCTGGATTTCATTTCTGAAATAGGTCCAATTAGACAATTTTATTTTGGGCACTTGAAGATTATTAAATGTATGGCCCAAAATTCTGAATCCCCTTTCAAAATAACTTGAACTCAAGGAAATGCAAACGAGTTAAAACTTGTTAAGATGATCTTTCAATTTTTTGAACCGCCGTTTGGAAATCGAAAAATGTTAAAGCAGCTAGGGCTGTCCGTGGGTCGGTTCGGTTCGGTTCTAAAGATACCCGAACCGACCCAAAACTTTCGGGTATTTAATAAATGGACCCGTCGGGTCCAAATATAAATATATAATCGTTCGGGTTCGGTTCGAGTCTGTTCGGTTCCGTTCGGTTCGGTACCATAATTAAATTTTTAATATTTACAACAGCACTACATGAATACAACTAATGACATTTTATTCGTAACTTTTACAAATTAACGTAGCTCAATTCAAAAACATATAAATAACTAGCCGTCCAATAAGATTAATTCAATGCATACAAATACCAAAAAGTAGATATTAATATTACAGCAAAACTACATAAAGTATATTCATTTGCTTCAAATTAAAATGGGCTAATGGGTTTTAAAAATGATTTGGGCTTTAAAATTAAAATTATGAAATAATCTGATTTATTTAATTAATTTGCTAATTTGTATAGAAAAAATAAAATAATTTAATTAATTCAATATAAAAAATAAAAAAATTATTTAGTTTCGGTTCTTATTCGGTTCTTCGGTTCTTGGTCTAGACCCGAGACCCGACCCAAACCCATCGGTTCTCGATTCGGGTACCCGTTCGGGTATTTAATTTTTGAAGAACCGCTCGGTTCGGTTCGGTTCGGTTCGGGTTCGGTTCGGTCCGGTTCGGTTCGGGACTTTTGGACACCCCTAAAAGCAGCCTTTGTGTTGAAGAAACAGAAGTATTTATAACCATTCTCGTGGTATGAGTACTCAAAACAGCCAACTTCATCCAATGTCATGGTGTCTTAATGCAATCCGACTTTTTCATTCGTAAACTGTTCATAATTATTTGTCCTTGAAATTGTTCATCATGACTCAAAGTCACCTCTGTTGCCTCAGTCTCTCTCAACTGGGATGGCACGGTTGTAGAGCACATTTGGCTTAACTTAAAAAAGTGTACTTGTGAATAAATAAGTTATAAATAAATAATTTGATTCAATCAAAACTAGAGACAAGATACTTATTTTGACAGGAAGCCAGGAAGGTAAGATCTACTCAAATAGGTAACCTTCTTTAAGTTAGCCCAATGTGGTCTAAAACGCAAATGTTTTTGTTTAAAAGAAAGAAAGATGCAGCTTTTCGAGCATGATTTGGATAACCAATTGTATTTTCAGCACGTTGATATAATTCAAACCTTAGCTTGCTTTCTTACCTTTTATATTTTTTTACAAAAAGAATTCTTAATAACTAGCTGTTGCTCTAAACAGGTCAGTCACCCCCCAACAGTCATTGCATGTCACTGTGAAGGTAAAGGCTGGAAATTCCGCGCTGACAGTAATCTTGAATCGAAATTCTTGGGGAGATCAGTTCAACTCGATCCCGTTGAATCCTTTAGAGTTTGATGAGGGAGAGATCTTGAAGTGGAGAAAGGTGTGCAGTGCAAATATTTATACACAAGCAGTTCGTGTATAGCTTTATATTGCTAATTGTTACGTTAAAATCCCTCAAGCGTACGGGTTTATTGTACAAGTAATAATCGTGATGAGAGAGTTATCATCCCACATGGAGTAAATCTTAATTCTAGTGTATTCGATATATGTAAATTCGTGATTGTGACAAAATATATTTGATTTATATCTAACTACGTTTTATAGCTATGCGAGGGATTAATGTTTGTTTAAATTAAAAGTGATGAATGTACGACTCCACTAATCGACTCTTAACTTCAATTTTCGGCTTGTGATGATTAATTCAATACTTGCACTTGTGACGATTGATAATTCCACTATTATTTACTATTCTTTCCCAAGATATAATGTTTATCACGACACGATCCTATTCCTAGTCCGTATTTATATGACAACCATGCATTGAAGTTTAGGATTATCACACACGATTGTACACTTCATAAATATTATTCATAATACTCATTATTCACGTGTTCTATAAACAGTGTTCTACCTATCGTGAGTTTTTCAACACTACGAATAAGCAACTTATTGCTCTAATGGTATGCAAGCATTAAAACAATATGAATAAGCATGTTTATGGAATCACAACACGAGAATTAAACCAAAAATAACAAGTCTCGAATTAAAAACTAAGAATCAAAGAGTTTCATCATCCATCCAATACAATTAAACTTACCCTAGCATATTAATATAAGAAATGCATGGAGAATAAAAGGAAGCCATTACCCGAATCATATAAAATGTGAAGAAAATCTGGAAATCTTCACTTCAAGCTTCCAAAATCGGATCCAAACAGTGAATTCCTTCTTCTTCAATGTGAGTTTCTTTCTGTTCTGCTCAAAATACACCTCCCCTCCCTTAAGTGACGGAATTCTCACCCTATTATACCTCAAAAGATTGCCCTAAAACATCACAAAAACAAAATAAGGAAAGAAAAAAATTTCCCCTATTTGCCTTGAGGCGTGCGCCTTAGGTGTTTGGGCAGCTTTAGTCGAGGCTGCCTTGGTATGAGGCGCGCGCCTTAGGGCTCACTTTGGGGCCAATTACGTTTTGGCCCCTCAACTTTCCACAACCTCCCCTTTTTGCATCATTTTCTACTTCTATCCAATCGATGCTCTTCTTTTCATGTCCAATTGAATCATCTCACTCTTCGTTTCTCGTTCCAAGCTAAGATTCGATTATTTGCATTTTAGTCATCATCTTCTCTATTTGCGTCGGTTAACTCCATTTCTTGATCATTTTCTCCAATTTCCGTATACTCATCGATGTGAACCTAAAACATAAAATAAACAACAAATTTAGCCACAATTTAATCCAAATAATAACGAATATCCATGTTTTGACAATCTAAATAAGTGTACGAAATGTATTTATCAGATCTCTTTGTATTGTTGTCCGGAAAGAGGAGGACTCAATGATTATTAGTCCGTCAGAAACAAAAGTAAAAAATTTTGGTGGATAGGGATCCCATAAACCTTAATCAGGCGAGACCAGTCTGAAATCTTTGAGAAAGCATAGTCCCAAATCCATCTAAGCTGGTTCTAGTCACATCTCATATGTACTGCATTGCATCCTAAGAGGCGTTACTAATTCAGATACGTATGTAGTCACTGACATTGAAACCAATGTCGAGCACCAAGGGATCTTATCTAAACTGTTGTGGTGTGATTCAAATTCCATGTGATTTGGTATTTGGTTGATTGGATTTCATGTGATTTGGGATTTGGTTAATTGAAAGAAGT